CCCAAGTCACAATTATGGGTCCTTCCAAAACAAATTTTTGTTTTGTTGTCCTGTTTATTTTAAGGAAATATGACTTTAAAAAAAAACACCACACCAGCAAATTTCTTAAAAGAAAAAAATGGAAGAGTTGTCGCAGCAGGCTGGTGCCAACCCCACTGGTATAACATCCAGTGCTGAATCCCAGATTGAATGTGGACTATACACAGGATAACCTTGTGTCCTCGCCCACCACTTGCCAGCACTGTTTCCTCTCTCCCTAAAAAATCCCTTCATCTCACAAAAATATGGGGCTCACTAAAACTACAGACCCAAGTGATTATCCCCATCAGCAAAATCTAAAGGGTTGCTTCAAAAATGTATTTCCATGGGCATCCATAAGATCCATGACAGAAGAGACCATACTGTATCCCAGTCCTAAGTCTTTCATAACCCAGAATACCACTAGCAAAAAAAAAAAACTAAAAAAAAACAGCTTAATATTGCTGAAGTAGAAGACATAAATGAAATACTTAAAAATCAAAATATCCAAATGTAGCAAATCTACTTAAATCATTTGAGAAGTGAACTGATTTCCCCATCAAACTTTTCTCAGTTAGACTTGTTTCCCAATAAAATGTGCTTGGATTCTTTCTTCTTAGAAAAGTAATGACTTTGAATTGTTTTCAGATATTTGATTGCACAGAAAATAGATGGAAGGCATTTTACTTATTGATAAAGTAGCCCCTGCTCAGTTATCAAAGAGTAAATGTGATTTCTAAAATCACTTTTAGCATATATATTTAAACTTGTTTGTATGGAAATAAGCCTAAAATTATTATTCGGTTCATTAAATTAAAAACAGGTATTCTTTCTGTAAGAGAATTTTTTCCAGTAAAATTAGGCTTTAGGCAAATTTCCTCTGTTTGTCTTGCCTTCTCATAATTCTCAAATAAAACTCAGCATTCCACAAAGGGAGAAAATAATATTTGATTATAACAAATCACATTTAAGAAAGTCCCTTCCATTTTCATTTTTTATGATTAATATTTAAATAAATACCAAAACTCAACCTCTTGAATCCAGCACATACAAATTCTTAAACAGAAAAAAAAATTAAATTTACATAAAATTACCTGCCACTCTGGTAGACAGAGACGACCCCATATATTTCTAGTATTTAGGTAGTTATCACCAAACTTACAGCAATATCAACAAAATCTTTCAGCAGTTTAAACCCATCTTAAAAGTGTAAATAAGTAATCAGGGCTTGTGTTTTTCCCAATCTTTTGAACTCAATTTTCTCTATCTTAATCAATTTATCCAAGAATATGTAAAAAGTTTGCTACAATATCTTTCAAGACAGAAGAAATATTCCACCAATATTGAATTAATGCCTAAGTGTTAGTAGCTGTTGGCACTTTCTTTCACCTAGATAGTTAACACTGTTATCAAAAAAAAATTAGGTTTGCTTTGTAGTGATTCTCTTCAGTCATATAGTCTTACTTGAGGGATTTAGGTTTCATATTAAAAGAGAAGAAATCATAATTAAGCTCCCTGTTCAAAAATCTTTAAAGACGCTCTCAAACCCAAGTTAATTATTTTTTTAATTCTTTAAAATTTATTTTTCTATTACAGTTGACACACATTATATTAGTTTCAGGTGTACAACCAGTGATTAAACATTTAATACCTTACGAAGTGAACACCTGATAAGTCTAGCACCCAATGTACACTATAGACAATTATTACATTACTAGAAGACTGGTGCATGGGGGTCCCTTGGCCTGGCCTGCTGGGGTCGGGTCGAAACCAGCTCTCCAACACACCCCAAGGGGTCCCAGATTGTGAGAGGGTGCAGGCCAGGCCAAGGGACCCCACCAGCATACGATCAGGGCTGGGGAGGGACAGGCCAACTGGGGAGGTACCATGGGAGGGCTCCAGGGAATGTCCAGCCCATCTGGTCCAGTCCCGATCAGCCGGACCCCAGCAGCAAGCTAACCTACCGGTCAGAGCATCTGCCCCCTGGTGGCCAGTGCACATCATAGCAACTGGTCGAACAGTCTGAGGGACAATTAGCATATTAGGGCATATATATATATTCTACTCCTATGCTTTACTTAACATCTCATGACCATTTAATACTGGCAATTTGTACTTCTTGATTCCTTTCACCTTTTCACATATTACCCAACCCCCTTACCATCTGACGACCATTAACTTGTTCTCTGTATCTATGACTTTATTTTTGTTTTTCTTTTTCATTTATTTTGTTCATTATATGCCACATATAAGTAAATCATATGGTATTTATCTTTCTCTGTCTGACTTACTTCACTTAGCATAATACTCTCTAGGTCCATCTATGCTGTACCAAATAGTAAGATTTCATTCTATTTTATGGCTAGTATTCATCTTCTTTATCCAATTGTCTATTGACGGGCACTTGGGTAGCTTCCATATCTTGGCTATCTATAATAAAAAAAGCATAATATGCTAATTAGACTGGACGTCTTCTGGACGAAGCCAGGGCTGCGAAGGCCGAGCAAGCCACCACAGCTGCTAGGGCTGAGCCCCTTGCACGAATTTTGTGCATCAGGGCTCTAGTTGTAAATAATGCTGTAATGAACACAGGGGTGCATATATCTTTCCTAATTAGCATTTAAGATTTCTTCAGATAACTACCCAGAACTGGAATTGCTGAATCCTTTGGTAGTTCTATTTTTAAGTTTTTGAGGAACGTCCATACTATTTTTGATAGCTTTCTTTTAAGATCAGGAACAAGACAAGGATGTCCACTTTCACCACTTTTATTCAACAAAGAATTAAAAGGACTAGCCACCAAAATCAGACAAGAAAAAGAAATAAAAGGCATCCAAATTGGAAAGGAAGTACTAAATTGTCATTATTTGCAGATGACAATAATATAGAGAGAGAACCCTAAAGAAAACACCAAAAATTTATTAGAACTGATAAATTAATTCAGAAAAGTAGCAGGATATGAAATCAATACTCAGAAATCAGTTGCATTTTTATATACCAATAACCAACTATCAGAAAGAGAAATAAAGAAAACAATCCCATTTATAATTGCATCAAAAAGAATAAAATACCTAGGAATAAATTTAACCAATGAGGTAAAAAACCTGTACTTGGAGAAGTGTAAAAAATGAAGAAAGAAATTAAAGACACAAATAAATTGAAACATATACCATGCTCACAGACAAGAAGAATTAACATCATTAAAATGCCCATACTACTCAAACCAATCTACAGATTTAGTGTAATCCCTATCAAAATACCAAAGGCTTTTGTTCATCAGTTTACGTTGTTCATTATAATCCACAAATGAGTGAGAGCATGTGATATTTATCTTTCTCTGACTGACTTACTTCACTTAGCATAATGCAGATGTAGAGACAGAGAAGCATTGATCAGATGCTCAAAACTCAGAGGGAAAGCGGGGGAGGATGGGGGTGAGGGGGAAAGATCAACCCAAGGACTTGTATGCAAGCATATAAGCATAAGAGATGGATGTGGACAACAGGGGGTGAGGGTGAGGGCAGGATTGGGGGGATGAGGGGACATTGGGGGGATAAGGACACATTTGTAATATCTTATTCAATAAAGGGGGAAAAAAGGAAAAAAAAATACCAAAGGCTTTTTTCACAGAACTAAATCAAGTTGATGTTTTAAGTTTTTTTCCACATGAGCCCAACTCACCTTTTCAAACATGTGATCCACCATTCCCATCTACAACTCCTTGCTCTGCTAAACTGGTCTATTTATCTCTAAAATGTGTTTTCCATATTATACTTGCTATCATGTTCATGAGGGAAAAAATCACTACATAGCTGTCTGTGTGTGTCTAGTTCAGCCAGTTCAAACCACAAATCTTTGCTTAAAAAGCATATCAATATGCTTTCCTCCAACAACTGTACATGATTAAATCCCATAACAGAAATAAGGTTGTTTTCTAACATATCTAAAAGAACCACTAAATTAATAATACCTTAAAATCTGACATTTTACAATTTCTACAAAAAAAATCATCAATTAATCATGAACTACATTTTAATTCAAATTTTATCTTGATTTATGTATTCATTTCATTTAATATATAGTATAATTTTAAAAATTAGTCAGCTTTGTGATTTAGTTCTGTATATAAACATAGCACAAATTATTTAGATCGATATTAATACACTTATTAAAAAGAAATCCTAACAGAAGTTATATTTTGCATTGAACAAAAGCAATAAATTTATTTGAAAAACAGTGTAATATAAATATTTTCATTCCAATCATATACTGAATAGCTAATGCTTTATAAGAGGAAAAATAAATTAAGCTATTTTATTATAGTAATAAGGAATTTTATAGAGGAGATGACTAAAATAAGGAAAAGATCATCTATTTTGTAATGTGCCTTGTAATTTCATAACCCATTAATTTTATATATAAACATATTGTTTGAATTAAGGTTGAGTTCTGATCTTAGCTGAACATTAAACATCTAATTAATAGTTCCTATTTTACTATTTATCAGACTTGTTTGCACATTGATATATCATACTGGTGTTCTTTTGAGAACCACATGAGGTTGCAAGAGGAAATATTAGACAAATACTTCTTCAAATCAGATTTTTAAAAACAATTACACACTTAAAGATAATAAGATTTTATGTTATCAAATATTTTAATAAAATATAATAATTACATCCATTCATATTGAGGTAAATCTATGGGTCAGAATATTGGGGACCTGGAAGACCCGTTGAAGGGCATATATTTCCAAGGACCATTTCATTAACAAAACAGTTTTCCTAAGTCCAACTCAAAATATATACATTGATTTGGCCTTAGAAAAAATGTTTGAAGGTTCAAAAAGTTAAAAACTCATTTATACCAAAATAATATACAAAGACAGAGAAGGAAATCCAGCTGAGTTTACCGATAAAATGACAACAGGCAGATTACATAACAAGGCTTGTTCTTAGTTTCCTAATTTGAGATAAATTTACCTTGAAAAACAGCTGCATTTCGAGATATTAGAAACTTTAATGTAGAGCTGGATGCTTGAAGCGCCTGCTGCATGTCTTGGCGAGCTGCAATTTGATATCTTTCCTCCATCTTCCTGGTGCAACATGTAGGTTTTTTGGATACACAAACCTGAAGATCAGGTCCTGGAACACATAAAAATTTTTCAGAATAATTATCTGTTCATTTAACAAACATTACATATTACATGTCAGGCATTAATGATAAGCACAGCACTGCACATGAAGAGTTTGTGTTTCTATGCGAGGAACTGATTTACCAGAGCACTTGCTATTAAAATATTTATCTATTGTTCATGAACCTAAACATGAAAAAAAATATCCTCAACCATTAACTCTTTGCTCAAATATTTTATTAACTTTTTGATCAAATATTATGTCCACTCAATTAATTAATTATTAACAGACTATATAATAGAAAACAAATATACTACTATGTAAGCTAAATAGAGAAAATTTATTTTTGCTTATTTTACCCATTTCACCCAGCTAAAATTATTTGCACTGAAAATAGTATAGAGAAGTATATGGGCTAAAACAATTGCTTTTCTTGAGGAAATAAAATACATCAGATAAAGGTAAAAAATCTTCACCTGATTTCTCATTTTCAACATCATGTTTGTGCTTCTTGTGAATAAGTGATTATCAGCAAACATGAAATGAATCAAGACCCCCACATGGGCCCAAAACCACCATCAAATATTCTACTCACACCTAGCTTGCTAGAGACAACTCCTATGACTCTGGGTGGTGAGCACACAATGCAATATACAGATGATGTATCATAGAATTGTACACTCAAAACCTATATAATTTTTTATACTCTATGCATAGGCACTTTATTTTGTTGTTGTTTGTTTGTTTTTAATCCTTTATTGTTTAAAGTATTACATATAGTATTACATATGTCTCCTTTTTCCCCCATTGACCTCTCCAGGCCACCCCCACACTCCCCGCACATGTCCTCACCCCATGCCTGTGTCCAGGGGTTATGCTCATATGCATGCATACAAGTCCTTTGGTTGATCTCTTACCACCCCCACCCCCACCCTTCGCCTTCCCTCTGAAGTTTGACGGTCTGTTCGATGCTTCTCTGGATCTATTTATGTTCATCAGTTTATGTTATTTATTATATTCCACAAATGAGTAAGATCATGTGATATTTATCTTTCTCCTATTTAAACCTATATAATTTTATTAACCAATGTCACCCCAATAAATTCAAAATTTTAAAAAAGCACCTTTTAGTTTTCTAAGCATATTCAGAAACTGTCTGTGAAATTATTAAACATATGTAATAGTTGTGGTTAAAAATTTGGCTAATATGATTAGCACCTCACTTCCTGGATAGGGTCCCAGGGCAAGCACCTTTATACATAGCAGGTATGCTAGAGAAGGAAGGCGAAGGTACAGATGTGTAGTGGCACCTAAAAAGTATAACCCTGATGAGGGCATCATGGGGAAGGTCCCAGGGCATTCCCAGGCTACCCAGGTTTTATAGAAAGCTTAGAACAATTGATTTTTACAAGGCCTAACATAATACAGTTGCTCCTTTAATGTAGGGTAGGAATAAGACTTGTGGCTCTTGATCTCTGGGGAGTCTCAAGTTCCCGTATTAGCCCTTTATTGACTAATTTTAGACCAGTAAGTATATCTTATATATGCTGGTCTAAAGACACACACAGATACATACACATAGCAGCCACTTTTCAAACTCCTCCTACTTTTTCACACAGAGTCGGCCTCAGAATCACATTTCCAAAAGTTAGTTCTGGGTAAGATCAAGATATCTGAAATCACTCCAGGGCACAGGGGCCATTACTACCACATTTTACACATGAGGAGATAGACACATAGAGAAGTTCTGAAAACTGCCCAATGTCACACACCTACATGCTACAAAGTGGGGACCTGGTGTTTGCAGTGATTCCCAAACTATCTTCTTCACAATCACTCTACTGGGAGAAAAGCGATAGTCCTAAATCTATAAATGGTTCATCGATAGCCCTAACTGGCCATTTTTAATTCCTGTTTTGAAAGAAGTCATTCGTTTGGTAAATTGCAAGAAAATAAATTGCAGGTTAGGAACCATCAAAGGAGTTATATTAAAAAAATAAAATAGGCTAAAATATCAAGTTATAGAATTGCCATTGCTGTTTTTTTACAAAATTTAAGTGGTAGAAAGTACACTTAGAAAGATGCTACAAATTGCCCTGGCTGCTATCCTAAACACAGTGCGGGAGGGAGACCTTCATGTCTCGGCAACTCTGAGTAACCATGGGTAGCAATTTAGACAACTTAGAAAAAACACAGTCTTCAAGTTGATGAGAACCTGTGTGGATTAATCCAGACTTTCATTTATACACCTTGGAAACTGGAAATAAAACTAAACTCCAAAACAAATCAGGACTGTAAGTCAGAGATTAGTTATGTTTAATCAGCACAACATTTTCAACAGCATCAACTATGACATATGCTTAAGTAACTTGGAATTTGGGTAGCAGTGAATGGGGAAAAGAGTCCACAAGAAACTAGCTCCCTTGCTTCCTGAATCAGTCCAAAAGACAGGTGAGATGAACTACACCTCCTCAGGGAAAGGATTCTATCTTACATTTCATTCTCAGCATCACCACAAAGGACATAAAAAGATGCTTGTTGACAAAGAGCCCAGGCTACGGTTCTCCTGTTGTAAAAAGAACAAGCATCATAAGAAAGCAAAGCCAGATGGAATCCAAACAGATACTACATGGTAACAAGACACGTTTTAAAAATATTTCAAAGCCTGACTTCAAAGAACATGGCACAACTAAGGATGCTATGAAACAGTAAGAGTACACAACCCAGCCTCAAAGGCAATAGTCGTGTTTCTTAACAGCAGGCATGTTTCTGAACAGTAAAATCAAACTCCACAAGAATTAAAGCACTGAAAATAAGTGAAATTAAAAACAAAACAGCAGGTTCCTTGCTGAGGGGGCTCCCAACCAGAATTGTGGGAGCTTTTTTTTTTCTTTCATTTCTCACCGAGAAGCTGCAGTATTGGTTATTATGCCTTCCTTTCTGTTAACCATCTATCTGTGTGTGTTGTCTAGAAAGGTTAAAACTGGAACATTAGGAGGCATTGTGGAAAGATGGTGGTAGTGGCAGCATAGTTTCCACTATCTCCAGATCTTCATATAGAATTAGAAAATAAATCCAGAAGAGACAACTAAACTACATGCCATAATACTCCCAACGCAGACTCTGGGCAGGAGGGAGAAGAATAAAGCAGTGGGGTAATGTCTGAAGAACCTGGAGACAGAAGAACCCTGAAATAACCAACAGCAATTCACGGGAAAGCACAGAAGGCTAATTTGAGAATAGCAGCTGAAACCTGGAGTGTTTTTCCCTCTTGAATATTAAATGTGTGCAAAGGACCATTGATGGAAAGGAATGAATGAGCAGGAGCAATCCAGACCCCTACGAAATCTCTAAACAGATCCAGCAGGCTCCTTTCCAGGGAAGAACCCCACACAGAAAAGACAATCCTGGAAGTGGAATCAAAATTCAACAGAGACATAGATGGAAAAGGTCTAGGATAATGTGGGAGGGGAAATAAATTCAGAAAATTGCAGAAAACAACCATAATTTTAAATATTACACAAAAATAACAGAAGAGAAAGCTCTATAAAGTTAGAAAAGCTACTTTGAAGCCATTCTCGATTTAAATTTTTCAGAATAAAAGCTAACCTTACATAAAATGAACAACAATAAGAGGTCAAATTTCACATCAACTTATTATAATAAAAAAGAGAATAAAGAACAAAATAATATCCCCATAAAGAAAACATGTCAGAAAGACATTCCCCACTAAAAAAGATCAAAGATATAACCATACTATTTCAAAACAAGCGAAAAGATAATGACACAAAACATGAAAGGACAACATAAATCAAAATTAATAGAAAATCTCAGATATGGAACTCAAGAAATAATTAAAGATGAAAGAAAAAATTCTGAAATGAAGACTAAATGAGAAGAAACACAGGAGGCAATCACACGAAGGTTATGCATTAAAAAATAGAAGATAGAAAATAAGAAATTATAAAAAAATCAAAAGAAATGAAAGGATTTGAAAGATGATGACAACAAATATTGTTAACAATGTAAGCCCTGAAGAGGAAAACAGGACAAATAGAATCTGTATTTCATGTAAGCTAAAACAGTGGTGAGAGCAATATGAAATTCAAAACAAACAATTATGCAATACTCACTTTCTTATTTTCTAAGACTTATTTTCTAAGTCTAAACTGTATCCTTGAAAATTAGAATTTTTAAGTGTGGGAGAAAGGAGATACAGGCCTAATAAAGAAGAGGTTAAGTAAAACTCTGTGATTTTGAATTTGAAGTATCAATATGAAATTATGAAGAAATTTACCTTCAATAAGTATATATTTCCTAGCTTCACTGAAAATACCTAGAACAATGACTTACCAAATGGCAAAGGGCATTCCTCATGCCCAGATGATGGTCTTGAAATATCGTTTCTCTCAAGAAATCAGTGCTTCCTACAGAAATGACTCACTCTAGATTAGGGGAATGCATATATAAGATGACAGACCAGCTAAAACTTCTTGTACACCAGATAGCAGAGAAACTATCAAATAACTCCAGGATCATATCAAAAGCACTCAGGAGCTATGATAGTCTACTGGGGCTGCCATTACAAAATCACAAACCAGTGGCTTAAACCAGAGAAATTTATTTTCTCACAGTTCTAGAGGCGGGAAGTCCAAGATCAAGATGCTGGCAAGCTTGAGACCACTCTCCTTGAAGTGCATATGGCTGCCTTTTCTCATGTTCTCACATGGCACTGTCTGGTGTCTTTCTTCTTATAAACTCACCAGTCACATTCTTATGGCCTCATTTCACCCGAATTACCTCCATAAAGGCCCTATCTCCCAAAATAGTCAGATTGGAAGTTAGGGCTACAATTTAGGACTTTTGTAGGGGACACAATTTGGCCCATTTCAGAAAGGTTTCTACTAGCAAACATGAGACAATCTGACCTTCAATAATAATAATTGCAATGGCCTGCAATCAATAAATATGCTTAAATCCAGGGGTTTTCTGTAGCTATGTTTTATTTTATAATTTTTTAAAAAGACTTTTAAAATTGGACTGCTGGTTGACAATATGCATTCTCTTTTTGTTTCAAACATTTATTTCTCCCATAGTCAACTTACAGGATTTTTACATTTGTAGCACATACCAGCTTTATTGATGGCTGACATAGGAAAGGGCCCTTGGTACCAACACAATGAGGTTAAGATATATTTTAGGTTTGCAAGATGCCTGTTAAATTCATAAAATACCAAATGCTCACAAGATATACCACTTTCTTTCATGATTTATTCCAGAACTTCAAGAGGACTTGATACTAAATGAGCGGTCTGATAATACCCCTTTAATGGCTGCTTGAGTTCCCTGCTCTGTAGTGGGAG